CAACACAACTTTTTTTTTTTTTTTTGAGAAGGAGTCTCACTCTGTCACCAGGCTGGAGTGCAGTGGTGTGATCTCGACTCACTGCAAGCTCCGCCTCCTGGGTTCACGCCATTCTCCTGCCTCAGCCTCCTGAGTAGCTGGTACCACGGGCACCCAACACCACGCCCAGCTAATTTTTTTGTATTTTTAGTAGAGACGGGGTTTCACCATGTTAGCCAGGATGGTGTTGATCTCCTGACCTCGTGATCCGCCCACCTCGGCCTCCCAAAGTGCTGGGATTACAGGCATGAGCCACTGCGCCCAGCCTAAATACTGCTATTTTAAAAGTCATTCTATGGTGGATGTTTATTAGTTGCAGCTAAACACATGTAAACGAATCCATATGGTTTTTATGGAATCATCCCTTTATGTCTCAAGGAGTAAACCATTTATGTGGTTAATCCTCTATCCTAGCATGCTGAAAGACTAATTAATAGGAAAGCAATTATTCCATAATTATTTCCATAAATCTTATTTCCATAAATCTTAAAAGATAATAGAGCTTTACTTCCTTAATTCACTCTTTACTTTTCCCTTTGTCTTTATTAGTCCTGTTGGATTTTACACATGACATGTTATGAACCACATCACTTGTTAGCAAATGAAATAAAACAAAAATGGTCTTGTATGCAATAGTTCACAATTTTTGATGACATTATATGCAATCACATATATCCATTCAAGTTATATGCCTGACAAATATATAGTGAAATAATGAATTATGTCCCATCTTAATATTTAAATATGATATTTTGGGGGATCCTGATATACATATATATATATGGAGTGGAGGGGGGAGAGAGAGAGAGAGAGAGAGAGAGAAAGCACCTGTTGTGTACTAGACTGGGCACAAAGATGTTGGTTAAATAGTGGTAAACAAGATTGGCAGTCATTACTCTCACGGAGTTTACAGACTGTGTGGACGGTCAAACTAATAAACAGGCACCTATGACACAGTGGGATAAATGCTATTATATAGAACATTGTGTGACAATATAAAAGAGATATTTAACTTAGAATTAGGAAGGAGATTGAAGTGGATGGGAAATGATTCCTGGAGGAAATGCATCAAAATTGAGTCCTGGAAATTGAATTGAATTGAATTGAGGTAGCCAAAGGAGAAAAGAGTATGTAGAGAATTGCATGTGCAGAGAACCAGAAATGAGACAAAATATCCATTAGACATCTTCAGAAAGCTGAAAGTGGCTAAATTCATGCAGGGAGCAACAAGTTAACAAATGGGATTTGAGAAATACAGAGGGACAAGACTCTAAGGGCAATTTTTAGGCTATATTAAGGAGTTTGGACTATATTCTGAACATAGCAGGGGTTTATGTGTATATTTAATCAAAAATATTCTGGCTTTGTGGGAGAGACTAGATGTGAAAGGAACAAAGCAGAAACAAGGGCAGCTGTCATCATCCATGTAAGATTCTGAACAGAAGACATACAGGTAAGGAAAAGTGGGAATCTTGGAGTATATTTAGTTCATGTATTATTAATTGAATGTGGTGGAAAGGGCAATCAAGGCATCAAGATAACTCTTTGCTAGGAGTGGATGAAAAGGTCTTCACTGGAGAAAGGCCACCAAAAGGATCCAGTGTAGGAGAGGATAATGAGTTCAGTTTTTAATAGGACTCGGTTATCTATGTGGCTAATAGGACTCAGTTATCTATGTGGCTTGAATATCTTGGATATTGGATTTGGGTAGCCAGAGGCATGGGGTTTGGATGTAGGCTGAAGACTCTGAGTTCCAATGTTCTGATTTCTTAGCTGATGATGATAATATCTACCTCTAATGTTGTTGTGTGGATTAAATGAGATAAAATATAAGACAACTCGCACAGTGTTAAAAAGGAGACAAATATTACTGTTTTCATGTGCTGTGCTCTTTCATTATTATTGATAATGATGCATTTCCTTCTCAGTTACTCAGTTTTCCAACCTATAGCCTGAGATTATTAAAAAGATTACCACAGAGAATGCCCACCGAATATTTATGATGTGTTAGGCACTCTTCACTCTTTTAACACTGTATATTGAATCATTCAATTCTCAGAAAAATATATATAGTAGTTATTTTATTACCCCCATTGTTACATATGTGAAGATAGGCACAAAGAGCTAAACAGCTTTCTAAAGCTCATATAGCTAGTGAATGTTGGACCTTGGGTTTGAACCAAGGCAGGCTCTTGTTACTGCATTTTAAACCACTATGCTGTGATGCCTCTCTCCATAGGCAGATGCAATATATTCTTGTTTAATAGAGTTTTAACTTTTAATCAGTCTATATTATTTGTTATGTCTCTTAAGAATAGTCTGGTGATTATCTTTATTTTATTCCTTACAATAACTCTATTATTTCTGAAATACCTGGTATAGAGAAACCACAATTCTTTTAAAGTTAATATTAAAACATTCTTCTATTTTATGTCATAATGTCAAATCTGCTGAAGATTGACTTTTATACACATAAACGTAAACTTAGATTTCCATTTCAGATTTATATCTCTGAGGACTTTCATATTCACTGACTTAGAGGTTTGAAAAGAACTTAAAATATTTTTATTCAATGAGATACCAAATATGATTTCATCTTGCCAAGTGGTTATTATACCAAGATTTCTATAGCTTCAGTCATGGAAATCTCCCTACACAAATCACATCTCAGTATTTGTGGTTGTTCTCAGTAACCTTTACGTCACCATTGTTTCCCCTGTACTGGAAAGTTACCTGAACACGCTAAGTGCTCCATACATTTTGTGGAATTAATGAAAAAAAAAAAAAAGATGACTGATTATTAAAACATACTTATTATCCTTTAAGTTTCATTATAATTCTGCAAAATTTTCTTAATTCAAACTATGAGTATGTTTATGCAAGCTTTCTCTTTTAAAAAAAAGGGAAACTTTTAAAAAAAAAAAGTTGGCACATGTAAAATTCCAATAACATCTGAATATCAGGGTTACTGAGAGTTCAAGAAGATATGTTATCTTTCCTGAATACAGAGGCAGGCAAGTTGGAAATTGCTTCTTATGTCTGGATAATTTTCATTTCAGCCTGCTTGAAGTGGAAACTTGAACCTTTTTCTAAACTGAGAAGGGAAGAAATAGTTCAAACTGATGACAGTAGGACAAGGTCAACTCATATTATGAATAGTTAGACTTTTATGATCTTTGAGAAGAAAATTGTATATTGGATTTTATAGTATTCCTTTATTTCCCCTTTGCTGAATTAGCCTAGCAGCACTACCCATAAACAGAACCTAAGACTAAAGAGTTCTAATATTAGCACTGTTTATTATTACATCACTAAAATAAAATGCAAGTTAGGCACTGTGGCTAAGGCCTGTAATCTCAACCCTTTGGGAGGCCATGGAGAGAGACTAGCTCAAGCCCAGGAGCTCAAGGCCAGCATGGGCAACATAATGGGATCCTGTTGCTTAAAAAAATTTAAAAAATATATATAGCTGGGTGTAGTGGTGTGTGCGCCTGCAGTCCCAGCTACTGAGGAGGCTGAGGAAGGAGTATCACTTGAGCCTGGGAGGTAAAGGCTGCAGTGAGCCCTGATCATACTACTACACTCCAGCCTGGGTGACAGAGTGAGATCTTGTCTCAAATACAAAATTAAAAAATAAAACGCACTTTTATATTTTGTAAATCTTATTCCCAAATTTATTCATTTAAGTGAAAAGAGCATAATGAATAATTTTGAAAGTTAAATCTGAAATAATCTATTTAAATCCTGGTCTCTGGGTTTATGTTGAAAAACCTCACATGGAATGTTCAAAGCCAAATTAGGATTCAGAATGGTTATTCAGGGTTATATGTTTTAACAAAGTTATTCATAACACCTGATGGCAATGATGAATTTGTAGTTGCTAAGTTAGTGTTGGACATTGCATCTCTAGGCATCTGATTAAGCGGGAGTTGCCATTTGCTGTGCTGTGAGTTGCCAACAAAAGCTGAACCTGTCACAGGTGTTACAATTTGTATTTCAGAAAATTTGCTTCCCCCACGTTTAATTATCCCCAGAGTAGCCCACTCCATATAAAGTACTGAAGGAGTCAGCATTTTTCTTTTCAGTACTTTGATGTCATTTAGGATTTTGTCTACTATCTATATGTTGCAGAGATAATGGAATTTCAAATGAAGAACGAGGGACTTTTACAATATAACACTATTTTTATATTCATATTTCTGTTTTGAAAGCAGAAAAAATAATGCAAACCAGCCGTAACCAAATAGCACCCTGACGAGACAAACCGTGCTTCTTAGAGGAGAACAAAGTGTGAATCGGATAGAAAGTGTATAGGTTTTACCACTAATAACTAAACATTAAAAATGGCAAGTCCAAAGCCCCAAAATATTAAATAAACTTAGGAATGACTTTTTCTTATCAAATATTAATGTGTGTTTCAAATCCATGGAAATAAGTATTTATCATTATTGTAATAGGCAGTCTTTTCTTTGCAGAGAGACCACTGAACTGGAGACAGATTGTGAAGAGAGTATTCTTTCGGCAAAGCAATCCCTCTTAACATCAGCATATATTAGCCCTTTCTTTTTTTCATAAAATATTTCTTTTACAACACTTTAACACAAAATCCTGATGGGAAAGTTTCTCTAAACCTTTCATTGAAGAGGTAGTGTTTTCAGAATTGACTGAGGTTGACTCGCTTAATTAGAGAAAGATCTTTGACCCTGGATATCTGTAAGAAGTGATTATGGTTATGAAAATAATTTTTAAGAGATTAATATTGGTTGATGACTTAATTAGGAAATATTCTATACTTAAATCTCTTTGGAATATTTTTAAATGAGATTCTTTATCTTCTTTTATGTCCTTTTTTAGTAATATAATTCCAACATATGAAAATTATTAACTGAATTGAGACATAAATGTGTTTACTAGTTACTGTTTAACCTTTGATTTGTAATTGCAATTTTATATTCTTGTAGGATTATTTAACCATTCATAAGTATGGCAATGCAGCCAGAAGTGATCTCTGGAATACATTATCAGAGGTAAAGTATAGGAAGCTCAAATATCAAAACCTCTACTTGAATATTTGAATTGCATTTATAAGACATTCATAGCCTTTATTGACACTGACAGTTTGTTTTCACTTTTTACATTTTTCATTTGTTCATATTGATTTTTTGTTTTATATAATATATTGTAAAACAAAGGGGTTTAAAACTAAACTACAAATGGTAGTAAAAGATACCTCGCCTACTTTCAAACATGACAATATTTCTGAAATATAATTTTAATATGGTGTAAGATATTCATGTTAAAAACATAAATATTGAAGTTTGAAATAATTTTTCCTATATGTCAAATATTTAAATGTGACACTAGACATACTGGGAATACTTACTGATGCTGTAGGGATTTGCTTTAATAATAACACATATTTTATTTTATGTTATGTAAAAACTTTAATGTTAATACAACTTTCATTTTTATATACATGTATGAAGCTTAACTTAGGGTAAGAAGATTAATTTCACTAACATTATATTGGCTTCACTGACTTTAAATGTTTTCATATTTAGGTAAATAGTAAAGATAGAAATAAAAATGGCTTAATGTTAATTATGTTGATAATTCATGTTTATAAAACTAATTTATACATTTTTCCTTGTAAAGGCTTTAAAAAGAAATGGGAAATATGTAAATATACAAGAAGTAATGGATCAGTGGACACTCCAGATGGGTTATCCTGTTATCACCATCTTGGGAAACACAACAGCAGAAAATAGAATAATAATTACCCAACAACATTTTATCTATGATATCAGTGCTAAAACTAAAGCACTTAAACTTCAAAATAGCAGGTACAACATTCTTTTTTACATGAAAAATATTGTTTTTATTCTTACATTTGCAGTTTTAATATTTCAAAGAGCATTAATAACGAAATTCTGAAATGCTTTTTGTTATTAAAACATATATTAAGTGAAATATAGTTTTTGTTTCTTTATTTACACAAGTTATTTTGATTCTCTTTTTACTCCCGTTTCCTGGATAGCTGAACCTTCAAGCTGAAAAAACACCAAAGTTATTTGTTTAGGAAGACAGAATTTTAAATAATCATGGTGTTCAAAAAAATTAAAATGTTATTTTTCACTTTTCCCCATGAATGTTTCTTGAATTAAATGCAAGAAAGTTAAAATGTGTTGCTGTGAATTAAAAGGAATTGAGCCCACTGTGAGATTTATAAAGCAAGTGAGAACAGAAACTCATAATGCAGAAAAACTAAAACAAAAATCAAGTGAAATAATGTCTGAGTCAAAGGAATTTAAAACGGTACCTTGAAATGATCTAACGATTAATGTCACTTAGTATCAACATATGTTCTTTCTCATTTTTAGTGTTTAAAATCAATCAACAGCATACATAAAATCTTTATTTGTTGTTTCTTTAACTTTCTGCTGAAACTCTTAATTACTGATAACTCAGCATGTAGCATTTTTCTTTCTTTTCTACTTTATGTTTTCTATTTTGTGTCTCATTAAAGTCTGGGCCAAGGAAAGATATTAAAACTTAAATCAGTCCATTTCATTTCATTTAAGATGCCCTAATAAGACTTTGGTTCCAGTGAGGCTGGGGGTGGGGGTGGGGGATGGGAGGTACAGGAAGAGGGAGAGAAGTTAAAATTGATAAACACAATGAGATGTTTGGATTAGGTTACTCATGCTGCCTCCCATTATCTTGGAAAATTAGGAGTCTGACTTTATCATCCACCCATGTCCAGGAGATCTGGAACAGACATTAAGTTTGCTTTGTCATCTCTAAGAAGAATGGAAATTGTTCCCCTGTAGGCTAGCTCCAAGACCAGCCAGTCACTCAATCTAAGTGACTGAGAAATTCATGAATGTTTCTGGTGACTACATTTGGAATCCGATTTAGAAAAGCAGTGTCTTGTATCTCTCCATATACAGTCTATATTTACCTTCAACACGCTACCCTTTGCAATCCAACTGTGTAGACTCATGGAATGTGCTTGTACCCTGCCACACTGTCACCACTGTTAGGGGCTGACTCTGTCATTGCTTCTTCCCCCAGCCTGGATTTCCCACATCTGCCAGGTGCTGTTTCTAACCTTCTGATGTCTGGCCCGAGGCAAAACAAGCACAAGCGTAGGCATCAACTCTGGCCTTGCCGGGAAGTACATAAAAACTACTTGACTGTGGCAAAGTTAGAGAGATTTGGGCCAGGCCTTTGAGAATGATCAATGTGACACAAGCATCACTGATGCAGAAAAACATAAAGGACACGCAGATGACAGAACAAATTTTGAACAAAAATATTCTGTCAACCTATAACATACATCAGATGTACCGGCCAGGAATCTAATTCTTTAAAGGAAGAATTTCTCCCAGGCTGTATAATCATATGTAACATCTAGACAGCTTTGTCGGTTTGTCTTCTGGAATTATAAAATCATATGTATGATTTTGAACTCTGAGAACTTAGCATATAAAATATTAAGAGTAAGATAATGCAGGACATCCTGTCTAAAAAATGATTTTCTATTTATTTTGCAATTATAGACCTTGTAGCTGAAAATGGATTATTGCAATTTTACATTATTGATCATTTAATTCACTGTAACATCCTGGTCAAAGCTTCAATTTGATTCTCTCTGGCCTATGTTTATAGCCTTCCTAGATCTTTATTTCACAATGCAGACAGTTGATGGAGTAAAACCAACTGCCTATCTCTTCCAGAAATCCTGTGAAATCTGTATATTTTCTCACCCAGGAAAATCAATTATTTGTCTTTTCATTTTTCTAAGAAACACTAGAACATCATTGCAATATGCCTAGAACATTTTAAGTAAATCCAGTAATTATATTTTTATATATAATAGTTGTATTACAACATAGAAAGGAAAGATCTTTACATAACTAAATAGTCACATAAAGTTAGCTGATGTGTAACAGAGTGTCAAATATATTCTAGAGTTTGGGTACTTGGGAAGTTGTGAATTTGCGTAGCCTTTTTCATTATAAAGTTAATGCATTGCAATGTAAAGTAATGTCTCCCTATACACTGAGGAGCTTCTCAGTGTTCTTTGCTGCGGAGAATTTTACTAACCTCCACAGTCATACTTTCCTTCTCTTAATGCCCTGATCACAGTGACATCTGACCAGTTTTTCACAAAGTCTGGACAAATGCTTCATTAATTTTGATGCTATTTTATAAAAAGCCATCTCATTCAGGTTTATATGCACCTATTCTTTGCTACCTTAATATAATCATTAGAGTAAAAGTTGCTTTATTATAACAATGAAAATGACTGATAAGAGAGGTAGTCGCACGAACTGTTAAAGAAAAGAATATCTTGGGAGGTCTTTTTTTATGCTCAAAATAACATGATGACAAGTCAAGTTAAAACTGAGACAGCTAGAACAGAATCTAATATCCTAAGTTATTTTTTCTAATATCGTTTTAAACATAATCCATTGCAATCTTGGATTTCTTTACAACACAGAGGGCTTTTCACTAAACTAAGTTTAGGATCTTCTAGTCTTTTAAGTTAAAATCACAAAGCAACATAATTATGAGGCTTTCCTTGATTTTAAAACGAAATTTATGAAAAGTCCACATATATGATGTTTGGAAAGTTGTGAAATATATTCACAGTATAGTAGTTCAAAAGTAATACAAATTTCAAATATGCTTTTAACTTGGAACTTTTAATTTGTCTTTGTTACTATATGTAGATTTTGGTTATGTGTGTGCATGCACACAAACACACATAGAATAGGGAACAAAAAGATTCTTAGGAAGTATATAAATATATATTTTTTAATTATTAAAAACTGCCTCAAAGTTTGTATCCCCAAACCTTATAGTTATAACTATAAGGTTTATAGTTTAACTTAGTTAACCTTGTAGTTAACTTGTATCTGAACAGCTATGTGATACAATGTCTGACATTTAGGAAATTTGCTGTATATATGTGGTATTGACATGCAGGTATTTATATGAATCATTTTCCTGTATTTTAGAGATTTTTTTCTAAAACCCAAATATAGAAACAAACCAACTTTGATCATAATCTCTAGTTACTTAGAATAAATAATTTAAATATATGGAAATTCTGTTTATTTATATTGGGGCAAACAATGATTCACAAACATTTTATGATTATGCTACAAAAAAGACACAATTATCCTTGAGAATTTTTAAATATCCTCAATTTTATATATCCTTTGCCTTAACCAGTACTTATTTGGCTTCACAATTTAGCTGACCCAACTCAATATGGATAGGTACTAAAGTCAAGTTTATGAAGTTATTCTGTCTTACCTATAGATGGGTTTGATGCCTTTTATTTCATTTTATTCCAAGTCCATTCAATCAGATTCAATAGTAATTTATGATTTAGAGTAGAAATGCCTCCTATTTTCAGGCTTTTTCAAGACCTAAGTACACAAAAATAAGCTTATCATTTAATTTGAGAATCAGACCCAGAGTTGGGCATCATTGTCTCTTAACTAAGTGTTCCAATTAACCAAAAGAAATCCATTATTTTTAAGAGAACAGCTGTTAATGAAATGGATCAGTTCTTTGTCTCCTCCTGACAGTAAATCTGTCATTAAATATCTGGGGCATATTTTTAAACCTATATTGAAAGTTTGGAAGTATTTGTTAAAGAGTTTACATGAGTTGTTGTTCATGAACTACTGTCTAAAGAGTCAATATAGATTTTGCTATTATAAATTGTTGTATTACTAGACCAATTGTATGCAGTCATTATTAGTATAGTATAGTATCTCCACATAGTTAGGCCCTCCAAAATGTTTTTTTTTTTTTGCATTAAGTATAGGACACAGTTTTAAAATCAAGAACTGTAAACATATTATTTTGATTTTCCATACTGGAGATAGGAGTTGGTATAAAATTATGAATTTCTTTCAACCTTCCATTTGAACTCTTTACTATTACTGAATTCTGTTTATTGTGAATGCAAAACATGGAATAATAAAATAGTCAAATTTCACATGACAGATTCATAGAAGATGTCCTTCTCTCTCACTCCCCAAAAGACATATTCATTATAATGTTTATTACCCCCAGGCATGTTTCCCAAACATTTTTTAATTCTTTATTTATTCTCACAGTTATTGAGGTCACACAATATCTCTTACATTTCTAAAATAGAAAAATATATTTTTCCAAACTGGAATTGTTGGCTACCCTATTGATAATGATGAAATGATAGATTGAAATAATCTGGCTATATTTCAAGGCAGGAAACAAATGCAGTCATGTAGTCATTGGACTTGGAGTAAGACCATCCAGCATATCTCTGGCTATTCATTTGAGATTAAACTGATATTACTTCATGTATAAGTATAGGCCTCAATTTTTATCCTATAAAAAGGTAAATGTTGCAAAATGCTTCTCTTTAATAGATGAGTTTCATGATTGGTCCCTGCATGTTGGTGGCTGCTTTCACACATCAAGTTAGAAATTTCATTTCACGAAACAGAGCATTAAGTGCGTCCCACAATATTCTTTCTATTGATCTGGATTGTATGAAAACCTGACTAGTTTTTATTTTTTTCTTTTCTGCTGAATCACTTTAGATATGTCATATTAACTTTTCTGTAAACTACATTAATAGTGTCCCACAGAGTCATTAGATAATAAATAAGGAGAATATTAAAATGTAAATGCATGGAGCCACTGAGATATGTCTTAATCTAACATAAAAACAAGTAGAAAGGAGTTATGTTTAGACCTTAATCAATATGGCTCAGGTGTATAGATATTAGTTACTTTTTATTTCAAATTCAAAATGCAAAACCTTTTTCCCCCAAGATAAATGCTTTTGTTGGCAGTTCTCTTTGCACTGCAATTAAAATTCGTAGAGGCCAAGTCTCCTTAATGGCATTGAAAGAGTGAATTCATCTTTTTGACTTATGCCTTACTTTTATGACTGGAATGTTTTTTAGTTCACCTAATGAGAGTAGTAAAAATCACACAGAAGGCGCATGGGAAATGTTTTTTGTTTTTGTTTTGATATAGCTATTTTTATTCTTAAAGCTTCTCTTTTATTTTGCAGTTACCTGTGGCAGATTCCATTAACTATTGTGGTAGGAAATAGAAGCCATGTGTCTTCAGAAGCAATTATTTGGGTGTCGAACAAATCAGGTAAACTATATATTCTCCCCTGAGGAACTATCTGGTTTCAGATAATTGTTTAGCAACTTAACCTCTGGTTTCAGCTGTTATAAAATGTGAATAAAGACAAATTAGAAAGAGAATATAAAGGAATGATTATCAACCCTATAAAATTAGATATAGGATAGTTACTAAATAGTCTAATTTCAGTTTGTTTTTGTAATTACTAAATTTATTTGTTTCTTTAAGGGTAAAGACGAAACTTAAAAATAAACGTTTGTAATACTAATCTTAGGTGTTTAAAATTGTATTACTTTATAACTCCATATGTAATTAAAATATAATTATAACCTCAAAGAGAAGAGTAGGCCAAATACTGAAAACACAGGTCTCATTTTTAATTCCACTTTCCTATCTTCTCTTTATCAGACTGTCTCTTTAAAGGATGAGAGAGACAATATTCTCCATGGAATTATATAATTACAGGGCCAGAAGGTGGGGGGCTTGGACAGGTTAGCAAGCCATCTCTTAGGTGGGGTCAAACCTCAAGGAGCAGAGAGAGATGAGATCCTATTCCCTTTCTAAATATCTTCAAATAAGATAGTGACCTACTTCAATTTACTGTCAGAAAGCTATTTCTTGAATCCAATCTATAGCCTTCATTCTAGAGTGTGAAACAGGTCCCTTTTATTTATGTTTTCCATTGAGTTAGAGAAAAAGTCAATTATCATCTTTTATGTAACATTTCATTTAGGTTTAGATAGTCAAGTGTGCCCAGATATTGTTTTTCCTACTCCTTTCTCAGATGCTGTTAATTGATGTTATTTTGCTCTTTCATAAGCCTTATTTTAAAAAGCCACAATGTTTTTATTTGAAATAGGGTGAAGTATAAATAAATAAACAAATACAATTTCTTATCCTCAGGCTTGCTATTATAAGGGAGGTTTAAGTGCTCAGAATACATATATGTATACGTGCAAGAAAAAGTTGTTACAGTAAAATGGAATCTGGTTATCAGCAGTATGAACACTTACAGTTCCATGCAGATATTTACATACATTTTCATGTTATTATATTTGTAACACATAAAGACATACAATGAAAACATATGCTTTCATTTATATACACTATATATGAAACATTGATATGTAATGTAGCAATGTATTGAGATACTTTAAAATTTGTTGGTGTTTTTCCTTTTAAATTGTTCATTATAATCTATTCTTTCACTTACTGGAATTAGTGTTTATATCGTGATTCTGAATTCACACTTCCTGTATTACTTGACTTTATATTTGTCTTTTCCTGTCGTGTAGTTGTTTATCTACATAAGTTGTTGTGAAATGATGAGGGAGAGCAGTGAGTTGTTATAATGACCAAATTAGAAAGAAGTCATCTCCTTATAGGATTCCTATGAGATGTGATAGAACTATCTTCAGAAATAAGGTAAAATATTTATCTTTGGAAGGTAGAATGGAAATGGGAAAATGAGTGTAAAGATACTGATCAAACATGGGGATTCTCCCAAAACTTCACTTTTAGATCGTGCAAGGATTCAGGATGAGTAATTCTGGTGGATACCTTTCCGGGTCCATTTCTTCTCACTTCCTAGTTATTTCCATGCTGTTATTCATGATATCTTTTTATCTTTCACAGAGTATCCCAGGCCGGGCATAGTGGCTCACGGCTGTAATCCCAGCACTTTGGGAGGCCAAGAGGGGGTGGATCACTTGAGATCAGGAGTTTGGGACCAGCCTGGCCAACATAATGAAACCCTGTCTCTACTAAAAATACAAAAATTAGCTGGGCATGGTGGTGGGTGCCTGTAGTTCCAGCTACTCGGGAGACTGAGGCAGGAGAATCACTTCAACCCAGGAGGCGGAGGTGGCAGTGAGCCGAGATTGCGCCACTGCACTCCAGCCTGAGGAAGAGAGAGAGATTCTGTCTCAAAAAAAAAAAAAAAAAAAAAGTAGGGTAGTATACCAGCTATACCAGCTTTTCTTGACCAATGGCCACGGTTTATGTTTGAGGGATTGTTTTCCTTTACTGTCATTCCTTTACTGTCTTTTCCTTTACTGTCTTGAATTATTATTCAAGAATAAAACAATGTATTGGTTCAAACCGTATGTTTGCCTAAAATACCACCTATCTTGATATGTATGGTCCTTATACACAGCTGCAGAGTTTACGCAGTACATGACTCTAGGAAGCACTATTTGCACAGGCTATGATATGAATGGCACAGGCCCACACCCCAAAGTTGTGTAAGGTGCGACTTGGACATTTTAATGAAAAATGACACATTCATAACACTATCTTCTGTTTGATATAACATTGTCACATTTAGAATATTAAAACTTGCAGATTGTCCATACTAAGTTAATGTTTCCTGAAATGTTTTCTGAAAACTTTGTAAATACAAAAATCTGCAAAGTTTACAAGAGGCATCTAAGACTGAGCACTTTCCTGTTTGCCTTTTCAGTCCCAGTTTATTGTATTCAATTTTTTTATGAAGTCCTTCATTCTGATGACTAATAAAAAACTAACAACAAAGAAAAATTAGGAAAAAAAGAGAAAAGATTGTTAATTTTTGTTTCCTTGTGTATGTTGTCCCATCTCCTCTTTTTCAAAATATTGTCAACTAAATCACAGTGAAAACTGTTTCCCACAAAAACATGAAGAAAAAATTCTGCTCAATTCTTATAAACATATGTAAAACAGTTCCATATTTAATTATAACAATCGGGTCAATGTTTTTGTAGTTTTTCATTGTCATTAGTGATATAGATTTGATCTACATGATATTAATGCAATCAGTGGTGGATAATATAAAGTACAAATTAGATTTGGATCATCATATATTCTTGTCAGTTCATTTTTGGAAAATACTTTGGATAAACTTTTAATTAATGCTAAGGTAAAGCATAGATCATTTTATCCCAAAAATAATTTTTAAAACAATTTTTCAGTTTTAGAAAACAGGTTGAAGTATTTGTCTTTTTCATTCTTATTATGAAAATACCAAAAATTCAGACATTTGTATATGTAGTAGCTTGCATGTTGACTGGCTATTCAATTAACGGTTCGTGGAGAGGAATAAATGTAATGCCAAATGTTAGGAAAGAAAATATTAAAATAGAAGAGAAATTAATCCTGAAAATTAAAGCAATCATGAAAAGTAGCATAATGCAGTAGTGCTTTCTTGAAGCACTGGTTTATTTGAGACTCACAACCTTTCAAATGTATATTATTTTACCCCCATTTTACAAATGAGGAAATTAAGACTTGAGAAGTAATTTGTCCAAAAAATCAGTTGATTACGTAAAGAGGTGGCTTTAGAAAGTTGGCTTCCTTTGCTTCCTACCCTAAACCTGACTCTGCAAACACACACACGTGCGCGCGCACGCGCACATACACACACACACACACACACACACACACGATTTATTACTATGGTAGATTGCTTTGTGGATCTGTCAGTTATTTAATATGATGTCTTTGATTATATGCACATGATTCTTTATAGGTTTTACAAAATATCCTCATTTGATTTTCACAAGAGTCAAGTGATAAAACCAATATGTATTATTTTCCCTGAGTTTGTCTCACATTGTTACTCTGGTTGACCTTTTAAAAAAGTTTTTAAAATTTGAATTCTTTGCAACTGGCAAATATTGGATAGAGATACCTAATCTCTTTTCCCTTTTTATTCCAATAGAAAGTAAAAAATATAAAATCTTATAAAATACCAACTACTCTGTACCTCAATAGCCTAAGCCTTGTGCCATTTTGGATGCATTCTAAATATAATTTTTAATTATTATTGCCAGCATCAAGATATAACTTCCATACATTTTATTATGGTACTCATCAAATACCATACCTCATTAGGCCATTGGAAAAGATCTCTTTAAAATTCATTGCTTGCCATAAGTTAATTTGAAGAACATTTTAGGGATATAATTAACTAGAACAGAAAAGATATTTAAAAATCTATTACAAAAAATTTCAGGGAATCATTTCTGCAACGATCTCATTTGTAACAAAGGCATAAAAATATTCGTGAACAGTAATACCCTTCAGGTTTTAGTAGTAAATTTAATAATGACATACTTAAAAACAATAGAAGCCTGTCTTTCTTATTCTGGTCAGACGGTGTAGAAAGTACAGGAATTACTTTCTTATTTTAATATACATATTAACTTAAATTTGACTATATCCTATCTATAAGTTGTTGAAATTGAGTAAGTTTAAAAATTAGATTCGAGCGAATCAAGTGGGACTAAGTTATTCTAGTTATCTAAAATGTGAACAGGAAATAACTTTAAAAATATAGTTACTGTTACAGTAATGCATGACCATTTCAAACTTGTAAAAATCCAAAGTATGTGTTTATATGTTAAACTTGATGCTTTAACATTGTAACTTTTTGAAAAAAAAAAAAAAAACACTTAGATAAAATTTATCAACTTTTCTCAGCTCAAGTGAATTCAAGTATACTTTAAATATTTCTTGTTATAAAAATCTTAGTATACTTGAAGACACTTAGAGATTAATTATTTCTGCCTCCAAGGTTACTAATATTTTTACAATAAAAAAGAAACAATATTCTCAATATTTAAGTTTCAATTTTCATTGTCTGAATTCAGACATTATTAATTAAGATCTCTCTTTATGAGGTTATTTTAATTTTAAAGAATGGTATTTTCTTATTTATTTATGTAGTCATTTTTACATCTTTAAAATAGATATGAAATTCTAAATTTTTGTAGCAATTGTTTGAATAAATATACTAAATTTTGAAAACTATACAATCATAGTTTTGGAGACTAGAGAAATTATTTGCATTTTAGAAAAAATATGTGATGATTTATTTTTCTGAGTTCCATGGATTAAGTATAGTATATAAAATAGGATACATAAATGTCTTCTTCCATTGAATCATAGATTTGGAAGGAAACTTAAGGGCCATTATTTGTCCCTCAGGTTACAAGTAAGGAAATTGAGGACCAAAGAGAATCAATGGCATAAATTTAAACACTTACGTATAGGAAAGCTGAGACAAGAATTTAGCTTTTCTATCGTACTCTGATTCTTTTTCCAGTGCCATTTTCTCCCTGTCAGATCAACATTAGACTGTGAAAAATGTATATCATATTACAGTAAAAGTGTTATACCATCTTGTATCAATAGAATATAACATAGTAAAAATTTGGACGCTGAAGTCAGGAGACATAAGATGAACCACTTCTTTTCTTGGATAATTCGATTAACCTGTCTGAGCCTTGTTTCTTTATCTGTTCTAATAGACACAATTTATAAAGGTGGTGGGAAGTTGTGATACTGGAAATGATAAACATTAAATTTTATATTCAGTATACTTTGGGGCTTAAGTACATTCTATTTTACTGCAGATTTTAGAAAATTGATCATCTATAACATGCATTGGGTTTATTAGTTCACTTCATTCCAAACCTGAGAAATGAGTGGTCATTAATGTCCACCCAATAAGTTTTGTGGTATAAATTCTTCTTGTGTGGTCTCTACTTGAGAGTGAGTACTCTGTAAATGTATTCCTTCAAGGACATGAGAGGGAAAATTTATTTCCTATTTTGAAGTCTGAATGTGTAAAAACTTTGACATTGGAGTAAGAACTAGAGATGTATCCCTACTCAGACCAGAAGCTTATGGTTTTTATGATGCCTTTTATAGTTCTGAGTCATTGTAGAAATTAGAGTAGACCCATGTGGTTTTGATTTTTTTCCACCTGGATGTCAGACTATGTATGTCTGTGTGTATGTGTATACATTTAAAGTCAACTTCACTGATTTTATGAAATATGAGACTTGAAAATCAACAACATAATTATTATAATAGTCAACTGTGTTTCCGTGGAGTCAATAAAGGCTATATGTTCAGTGAATTGTGTCCCTTTTTTGTATCATTTTTGAAGGAGTTAAATATGTAAGAAGTTATAATATTGTTTCTACTTTTTACTGGCTTCTATTAATGAATTAGTTGGTGAGGATAATCAAGTTGCCATTTTCCAAAGTGATCCCAATAAGCAGAATTTATTATCTTTGTTTCTAATTCTATGTGGAAATATTAAAATCTTGAACAAGCAAGTGTTATTTTATTAGCATTATTGACGATGTTTAAAAGTCTGTTATTTATTAGTTCTCTCAAGAAAGCACAAGAAAAAAGGCAAACACCAGTGACTTTCAAGTAAATGAGCTCTATTGTTTTAATATTTTCTTACTGAATAAAAATAGTAGAATATGCATCTAAAACCTCTTCTTTCATTCTAGTCTCATATCCCCATACAATCTAATTAGAAGTTGCCTGAATACAGTGGTAGATTTCTAGGTTTCACTTACTTTGAGAAAGAAAATTATGTATATGTAATGGAGTTTTGTCAAGAACAAAAATGCTAATTATAAGAAAACAATTAATTGAGATGATAGTGAGTAACCAATTAAAGGTGTTTCTAGCATCTAGAATTAGATTAATTAAAGAGTAGGCTTCAATTAGGTATTTAAAATGGCATTTACTTAATTATTGGTATTGTTATATCTGGCACTAAGAAAACATACTTCATTTTAACTCTTAAAATTTAAAATATATCCCAAAAATGCTGTTTTCAGAGCACCACAGAATAACCTATTTGGACAAAGGAAGCTGGCTGCTGGGGAACATCAATCAAACTGGCTATTTTAGAGTCAACTATGACCTAAGGAACTGGAGATTATTAATTGATCAATTAATCCGGAATCATGAGGTACACTCCAGATTTGCTTATCAAATACCTTTTTTGATATGTGAATATCTGCCATTTTAATCCTAATTTATCATATTATTTTTTCTAATTGGCCTTAGGTTCTTTCTGTGAGTAACCGAGCGGGCTTGATCGACGATGCCTTCAGCCTAGCCAGGTATGTTTTCCTGTGGATCTCCCCGATAAAAATTCGTGCCTGCAAGACTTCCTCTATTAAACTGCATAGTATGTATATGTCTTTTATTTAGGACATTTAAAAAAATCTATTTCTATCTTATGTTCTTTGACTTTGGATATGAGTTCTAATTAGTCTCCCAAACTTTCTATCAATAATAGCTATAGGGTATTTCTAAGTCAGGATAAGCTTGATGAATTTCTCCACAAGTTCAATTTAACACTGAAGATTAATAGTCTCTTCTCGATTTCATTAATGAACTCTATAAAATGACCATTGGGCCATATTTAAGTTTTGATAGAAATTACCTTCAAGTATTGGCAATTTTTCCCTGATATATACTAGTATATCTTTTAAAAATGTTTTTTGAATGTTATTCATTCTAAGAAGCTTATGCTGCAGAACAGAAATCAATATTCCACTGAGTAAGACTGTTCTTAACAAAATATATATCAATCTTGTAGAAGACTTTAGTTGTACGATAGTAATATTTGTGTTATTTCCATAATTATGTTTACAATATTAAAATTAGTTATTCCTTTGAATAGTCATTAAATGAAATGTTGCTCATAAACTGAAGATATTTGCTCAATTTTGAGACTAAAATGTAAAACAAACTCAGTTTCTTTAATATTTTATACTGTTTCACATCCAAGCACAGTTTTAATTTTAATAATAGAATTATACGAGCTGTCAGTTAAGACATGGGTGACTCTCCTTACTTACCTAGTTATCATGATTTACCACATTTTCTTCTAAGATAATCAGAGGAAACTGGTTAGTTATGCTTGTGCTGATATTAACACATGACTTATCTTAGTAATAGGCTTTGTTTCATGGGACCTGAAACTGCTTTTACAGTTTATGTATTCAATCAAAATTCAATTCTCTTCCATATGTTAAAAAGCATATTACACACTACAGGATCCTGATCCATCAAAATAATGAGCTTACACATAGAAGACTTGATAATTACTTTGATAGAAGCAAAGCCAAAGTTTGGAATCAAATTACAGAGATTGATTTTTGTAAAAACAAGCAATATAGAGGGGAGAACACAAGTATATAGAGGGTAAGGAAAAAATTTCAGGTGCTTTTCTATTTAAAAAAATACTCTGACTTTTGCCTGCCTTATTGCTACTAAAGAAACCAAAAACATTGCTAATATTTTTCTTATTTGGTGAGTGATGCTGTATCAGTGCCTCATTCTGACCAGACATGTACAATTTCAGGCACACATTTGCCTAATAATTGAATGGCAAACCTAAGAACAATTTATCAGCAAGGAAACTGCTAATGAAATTGTACCAATTGAATGTATTTGTGTAATAAGAACTAGGGTTCAGTTCTAGTAAAGATAAAGGAAGGCTTTTCCATGCCATAGCACTATCTTATTGGGCAAAAATTTAGAAATAATAGAGCTACATAAAGGCCTGCTGAGATAATCATGTGTGGAGATAATATTTAATATGTAGCTTTTGCTCTGCAGTAAAATCTGAAGTCTTTGTAGAAAGTTTTATGTATGAAACAAAGATTACTTTGGCACAGAAGTGTAGAGAGTCCAGAAAGCCAGAAGGATAATGTATTTAATGTGATAATGTACTGAAAGAGAAGCAGAAAAAGAGAGAGTGAAGTGTTGAGTACCACAAAGAAAGGGTAAGGAACTCAAAGAAAGCTGTTTTCATTAGCTAATAATTATTAAGCACTTTTAAGGAGCCAAATGCTTTTCTATTTTACATATAGTAATTTGTTTAATTTTCACAACTTTATAAGATATATAGGTAGATATTATTGTTATTATTATTCCCACTTTATTTTATTTTCTTTTTCTTTTTTTTTGAGATGGAGTCTCGCTCTGTCGCCCAGGCTGGAGTGCAGTGGCCGGATCTCAGC